TTTTAAATAAAAATAACGTAAACTTGTTAATCTCTATTTTCTATTTATTAAAATTAGAATAATTATGTATTATAAAAATATATTATTGTATAATAGAATATATTATTTATAAAAAAATAATAAGAAAAGCAAATTATAATGTTATCAATTATGCAAAGTCTAAACTAGATTTGCTTATATCACTATTTGTTTAAATTATAAAACAAAATTTAAAAGCATTTTTTGTACATTTAAAAATTGATAATAGTAAATTGATTGTGATTTAAATGTGCAGTTTCTTTAAGATCAACGTTGAAGAAACAGAGAGAAAAGGATAAAATTTGTGTTTAATCTATAAGCTATACTTAAACAAAATTCTTCTTTAACTTCATTTAAATATACATTATTTCCATAGATAATTTTACTTAACTAAAATCATAAAATTTTGCTTCTTAATATATATAGCAAATCTTCCAAATATATCGTAAAATTAAATAAAATATGATATAATTAAATAAATCTTATAAAACTTTATACATGGCTTTTTAAAGTAATCTTTTAACTATTTTTGCATTAAAAATTGATTATATGTCAGGATATTTCTCTATCACCTTTCATCCAAAAATTTCTTCATGACAACAAATGACAAACAAATTATCTTTGTTTCGAATCTTGCCTATATCCATTATCCAGAATTTATATTTGTTTTTATTCCGCTTTCCACATGGCGTTCCACATGCACACAATAGAATATATTTAAATGGTATGAATATTCTATATAAGTGAGTGCACGCTTAGGCTTAGAATGCTCATCCGAGAAAAAATGGACCTAAAATCTCTCATGTATTTCCATATATATATATATATATATATATATATATATATCTTATAATTACATAAGTCTATTTTTTCTCGAAAAATGTTTTTCATTCACTGCAATAGTATTCTATCACGAGTAATTAATTTTGGAAATAAGTTTTTTTTTTCTATTACTTGTAACATGTTTTCCTTTACATGCCAAATAGATCTGTTCAAAATATGTCGGGCGTTGTGTACTCAGCTTCAAACGAGAAACGTCGATAGCACAGACGGCTTTCAACAAACACCCGCATATTCTCCGAAGGGGTGTTTGGCGCGAATAGTAATATATTATACATACACATGATGTTCTAACTCTTGGGAGATACGTGTGTATCAGATATCTTTTTAATGGCATTTAAAAATCTATGTAGCTATGCTTTTGATGATAACAAAATAAATAAAATTTAATTTAATAAAAAAAATCTTTATTAAATATTTTATTATGGCACAGTTGGGTGATTAAAACTGTAAAAAATAATGAATAAACATAAATAAATCTCTCAAAAGCTTGTACAATTATCAAATAAGTAACAAACTCATCCAATTCTGTCCATACAAACGTCGTGGAAAATATAAAAAAAAATATGATTGCATTGGACTAGAATAATCTCTCTCGCAGAAATTTCCAAGATAATTTTCAGCAGAATTTCAAACTTCATATTCATTTCAATTATCAAATTTTTCGCAAATAAATTACTGAGATTTACTGAAGTACTATGGTCCAAAAATATGACTTTATCTGTATTTTATATATGTAAAATAGCGCGAGAAATTACATTTCAAAAATTAAAAATATGTAATTGAGAATATTGAATTATAATCTGATTATTAAACAAAGATGCGTGTAAAAACATTTATAAATTGTTTTTATACATACATATTTAATTAAAAATGTTTACAATATTTAAACAATAATCTCTACAAATTATATTCATCAAAAATTCTTCACATATTTTTTTAAAATAACATTATTTATACATACATATGATTTAATATTTATGCTGATATATAGTATTGATACAATACCTAACGTCCAAGTTAACAAAATTTAATGAATTAATTAAATATTTTTTTAGACACACAATTCCTTTTGTTTGTTCAGATATTTGTTCTTATTTAAGTAATAAGATTTGAATGGTGCTTATAAGTTTATAAACTTGACGAATTTCTTAAGAGACTCTTCTCTTCCGCAATATACGCATGTCATAAATTTTCTGAAAAATGATTGTATTTTCTTTATATGTGTGTGTTTGTGTGTGTTGTGTGTGCGCGTATGTTATCTTGTGCTTACAAAGTAATGTGCCTGTCACTTTGTAATGCACACATAATATATATAAAAAATATCTTTCTTTTTAGTCTATACCTCTTATCAAAGGTTAGTGAATTCTTTCTGATTTGCGATGTGCGTTTTTTATAGTTTTTCCGTAGTCATATAAAATATATATTGTATATATATAGATATTCGACAAACAATTAGCGACTATTGCATTATAAGCAATATGCATATGTGATTAAGAACTCTTGTATAACTCTTATACATATATGTGTATAATATATGCATTATACTTTACAAACGCAGAAAATCCGATTTGGGAATCTTGTGGAAGGAAAATAAGCTTTTTCACAAAGCCTGCTTTTCTTTAACTTTTTATAATCTACTGGTTTAATAAACTTTATATATAAACATATAAATAATAATATATAAATTGTTTTACTTTTGCAATTATAAAGAATCTTTCTTAAATTGACATAAGTATCTTTTTGTTAACAAATAAAAAAATATTAAGACTAGTATAATGCAAATTAGAAATATTGATTCTGAGAAATTGGTTATGGTAACATTATAAATATGTACAGTAACAATCTAATAAAATATCTTCTTCAACGAAGTCATTTCTTATTTACCGCACTTATAAATTTGAATGAGCATTGCTGCCATCTTGCATATTCTGTTACATTTGTCTACTTCTAGGCTGAAAAATTACACATAAATGTCAACTTATTACTTGACAGGTCAGTTTCAGTCGCGTATGATATTTTCTTGAAACCATATCCGTTTTTCCCTTTTTCTTCTCACCCAACATACATGCGTGTATGTAGGTACGACCTGCAATAATTTCATTTGTCTGGTTTACCAGCTGGTGTTTCATAAAACGAAGGTGGAAAGCGGATGTGCGTAGATATACCAGTGATTTATTCGCAAACAGTGGACGCGAAATGTGTTGTTTCTTACATTTACAGCTCGGCACAATATGGTTTTCTAAGCTATGTATCTGTACTACGTGATTATGTATCATTAAGTTTATGTTGTTTATGTAATATTTAATACCATTTATTTAATATTAATACCTAAATTTAAAATTTAAATAATAAATCATCTCCTTCCGCTATTTTAAATACAACCTAAATCTACTTCATTACGAATTGTTTCTTATATATTTCAAATAGCAATAGATTTAAAGTTAGAAAAACAAAAATACACCCACACAAATATCGCAATTAAAAATGTATTTCTAAATATATTAAAAACTTTATTGTTACAGCTTTTTTATGTTTTATTCTAAATTTCATTTTTTCTCTGCAACAAAGTAACAGTTATATAAACCGCCTGTAATTTTTCTTTAAAATATTTGTTAATAATGCAACTGATTTATTAAATGCATTATATTGTAAAACATTAAATGGAGATAATACACGGACAAAATTATCAGTTTTATATTAAAAACACAAATATACAGATCTTCCGATATTTTTGTATTATTAAAATTAAGAGAAAAAATTATATTTTTAAAATAGTCATGGAATACTATTTGCATAGATAAATAATGTACTGGTTTGCAATTGATAAAAAAATAGGCTGCAAGACAAATTGATATTGATTGCAGCAATATCAAATGAAGATTTCAGAAACTTAGCTGCTTCTTGGCTCCATTTTACGTATAGAATATGATTAGAAAAGATGAAGAGGAGATTTTAAAAATAGATCTCTTAAACGACATTGCATTATTTGGCGCGTAATCTGATTTGTGCAAATTAAATTAAAACTATGCAAATCAGATAAGGCATCAAAAGTAACGCAACATTTAAGAGATCTAATTTTAAAATCTTGGCTCCATTTTTTCTAATCTTATTCTATACGTAAAATGGAGCCAAGAAGCAGCTAATAGAACTATAATCATTAATAATGATTAGGCAATCATATGAACTCTATGAACGGGTAGTTGAAAGATTCTCGATGAGATTTGTATTGTAGACACTTCCACGTAGTGAGTCTGGAAGTGTTTCACTTGTTGAAACTCACAGAGAGCTGTAAATATGATAATTATCTCAAAAAAATCATCAACTTTCAACGCTCTCTGTAGGCTAAACTATAGCTTATAGAGAGTAGTTTTGAGACTTTTATTCAGTATCCCACAAATTACAAAATCCTAAAGTTTGGACGAAATCAACCGCGAGCCGTTTTTCATAAGGAGTGTGCGGGATCCTTTAAATGTGTACAAATATATGAAATATGTAAAAATTATTTTATATTATTATAATA